AGGTCAGCGAACGCACAAGAATCTTTGAGTGAGAGGATTGAAAGGGAATATAATTATAATAATAATAAAAATAATGGTATTTATTGGTTGAAATAGAATATAACAAGCAAGAGGCAAAGTGCGATACTTGCACCTCATACATCCGATATTCTCATCTCAACCAATCAACTGAAGTCTCTTCCGAAATCCATTATGGTTGCCATGGAGGATATTCCAAAAGACTTTGCACAAGGGATATTTCAGAGCCGCACAGTTCGGCCTAAATGGCTTCAGATTACATATGAGAATCAATAAGAGTGATATTATCATAGCTCGATGTCGTAAATTGAACCTTCGTCCCAGAGAAAAATGTATCAACTAATAACAAACCTATCTCATGAAAAAAACTTCCACCAGAAAGGAAGCATCCCATGTAACGAAACCTTGATACAAATCAAAATTAGACTAATGATACATCGAGGAAAGATAAGTATTAAGGAAATATTTCGAATTGAAAATTTTTAATTATTCACTTCTCTCAATATTCCTACACAGGAGTCTGATGTTTGTTTGTCAGAAAATAAGAACTTTCACGACCAATATCACCATAGACATTATGTTACATCCGACAGACATGTATGCAAGTTTTCTCACAGAACAAATTTTGCGGAAGCTTCTCGTCTTTTAGCAGCAGGACTTCACTGAAATCAATATGGTAATCATTATCAGACTGAATACTAGGTAGATCCGGGGAAAATCTAACTATCCTGCCACTTGCGGCAGGATAATGTGGGATTTTTACGCAATAAAACACCTCCCCTTCTACCCCTTCTACCTTCAAGGTGGCGACCGTTTCTTTACCCTTCTGCCTACTATTCTCTTTCCTCTTCTTTCCTGGCCTTTATAATTTTCGTAATTATTTTCTAGCCTGTCATCTATTTTTTTCGCTTTCCAACATTATATTGGTATGGTTGAGCTTGTTAATAACTTCCCCCAACACCCTGCTCGTTTTTTTTTCTCTCTTCCGTGCCTCCAGAATCTACATGCATCCGTCTGAGCATTCCCTATGGCGTAGTTTCCGAAACAACCGTGTTCACTGACACGGCAGGGTGGTGTAATACCCCACCTCGCCGTGCCTCGTATTGACCCATTTCCCCACATCTTTGATTATGGTCCTGGTCCATTGCCACCGCTCGAATGTTCGCCTTCTTTCTTCCCTTGGATTCCTTTTATCTTTAGTAACCCTGTACAGCCTGTCCCTTTCTATCGCCATTTCCTCAATTGGGATAACTTCAGAAATTACCATTACGGCCTCTCGCGAGATGGTCCCTGCTCACCTTTATGGCAGCCGCCCTTTGAACTATGTGCAGTCTCGTTAGGATTTTTTTCTGGTAAGCGCCGTTCTCCAAATATTCATGTTGGTCTGCAAATTATCAATCTTCATTGAAAAGGACACAATATCTAACACACCTCATACATACCTCATTTATCAATTTTTTTTTAGTTTCCTGATCCATTCTGTTTGTATTTTTGCCTCGAATTTTCAAATAAACCGAACTCGGTGAGATTTTGATCTAATACATAGTTCAATGTGTTTTTCGTCTTTTGGGATACAAGTTTAAATACATTTCCGATGTCCTAACACTGTTTCTATCGTATTTGTAATGAATTTGTATCATACCTCTTTTTTCTTCATTCGTGAAAGTCATTTTTCGCCAAAAATTCAATGACTTGTACAATAACAGAATGTCATTGAGTGTACCAAATTGAAAGTCAAATTTAAAGACATCAAAGTCAGGACTTCACTGAAATCAATATGGTGATCATTATCAGACTGAATACTAGGTAGATCCGGGGAAAATCTAACTTTAACTCAATAAAACTTTACTCAATAAAACACCTCCCCTTCTACCCCTTCTACCTTCAAGGTGGCGATCGTTTCTTTACCCTTCTGCCTACTATTCTCTTTCCTCTTCTTTCCTGGCCTTTATAATTTTCGTAACTATTTTCTAGCCTGTCATCTATTTTTTTCGCTTTCCAACATTATATTGATTTGGTTGAGCTTGTTAATAAGTTCCCCCAACACCCTGCTCGTTTTTTTTCTATCTTCCGTCCATTTTTCACAATTGAAAATGGCGTGCTCCGCGTTGTCGGGTCTGTGCCTCCAGAATCTACATGCATCCGTCTGAGCATTCCCTAAGGCGTAGTTTCCGAAACAACCGTGTCCACTGGCACGGCAGGGTGGTGTAATACCCCACCTCGCCGTGCCTCGTATTGACCCATTTCCCCACATCTTTGATTATGGTCCTGGTCCATTGTCCCTTTTCCGGTCCACTCCAGACCGCTTGCCACCGCTCGAATGTTCGCCTTCTTTCTTCCCTTGGATTCCTTTTTTCTTTAGTAACCCTGTACAGCCTGTCCCTTTCTATCGCCATTTCCTCAATTGGGATAACTTCAGAAATTGCCATTACGGCCTCTCGCGAGTTGGTCCCTGCTCACCTTTATGGCAGCCGCCCTTTGAACTATGTGCAGTCTCGTTAGGATTTTTTTCTGGTAAGCGCCGTTCTCTGAATATTCATGTTGGTCTGCAAATTATCAATCTTCATTGAAAAGGACACAATGTCTAACACACCTCATACATACTTCATTTATCAATTTTTTTTTAGTTTCCTGATCCATTCTGTCTCTGTATTTTTGCCTCGACTTTTCAAATAAACCGAACTCAGTGAGATTTTGATCCCTTACATAGTTCAATGTGGTTTTCGTCTTTCGGGATACAAGTTTAAATACATTTCCGATGTCCTAACACTGTTTCTATCGTAATTGTAATGAATTTGTATCATATCTCTTTTTTCTTCATTCGTGAAAGTCATTTTTCGCCAAAAATTCAATGACTTGTAAATCCTGTATAAAGGATCGTTCAGCCGAAGGTATTTCTTTTTTAACTTGGTTTGGTAGCGCGAGCGTTACTACCACCAGATCAAAAAAAGTTTGAAATCCGTCCTGATCATACGAATTGACAATTAGTGGACGACTTGGTCAACAGTTGAATTTTTTATCTTTCTATCTTCGTAGAGCAATGGTTTGGCTATGCCACCAATTATTATCTCAGAGACTGGGAGTTTAACCTTCTCAAAATAATATTTGAACTATTATTTTATCTATGTTTTACTGAACGTTATTTAAACTATATGAAAGAAAAATAAATATATAATTATAACCATGTGAAAACTATGAATAAACCAATAAAAACAAAATGACAGGATTAATTATTCTTATGAAAATTTAAATAACTTCATTCAAGAAATAGGTATGCCTTGCCTGAATTCTACTAGATCTGCTAGTAGATAATGTAGATAGTAGATAGTAGATAGTAGATAATGGGATGCAACGCTGAGAAACTATTAAGAGACCCACTTAGTCGCTTCTCCCTGTATAACATAGGAAAATGCTGTAACCTATAATAACCTAATAAAATGGAAAAGGGAATCTGATTCGTAGCTATGTGGTAAATTTTCACCAATACCCTAAGGTGCCAATTCGAAAATATATAACACATACGCATGCAATAACATCTACAATATATATCAGAACTGTTTCAAAATACGCTCACCGAATTAACCTAGATGGACTCTCCTGAAGTCTCCAAGAACAGTGTCCTCCGGCGGGGTAATAGTCGGGTTCCGTTCGGGGGGCGTGTCCCGCGACTCCGCCCCCATCGCCCACATTTACCCTTCGTCGCAAGGGCCGGCTGGCCTCCCAGACCTGAGCCTTTGGGATTTCAGGACTCAGCTCTCGCCTGGGTGCAACGGAAGGTAGGTACGCTTCGGTTCGCTCTTCGAAAAATTGGGACTCATTGTAGAGGTACTGACCCCGCCATGAGGCCACCTCCAAGCCTCTCTCGGCTTCAGGGTGACTCCCTGGCATTCCTCCACCCCCTAGCGCTTCCGCTAGGTCGTCAGTATCCGGCTCGAACAGGGTACTAGGCGCTCCTGTGCGCAGCGCACCCTTCTCCTCCCAAGGATCACTAAGTGTTTCCCCCTGGGGGCATCGTGACGCCTGGCTAAGAACGACCTGTACTTCGTCGCTTAATTTCCTGTTGCCAGCATCTCCAAAGCCTTCTTTGCTTTGGAAACGCTGTCCTTCACCGCGCCTCTCGAAACTTTCCTTGTTTCGAAAGTCCTGTCCGGTGGTTCTTCTTTCGAGGCATTCGCTATTTCGAAAGTCCTGTCCATGATAGCATGATTCTCTTGTCAGGTTTGACAATGGCTTCGACATTTCACTAATTACTGTTTTCACAGAATGACTGTACACCCTGTGAAACATTACCCTTGGTGATTCTACTACATAAGTAGGTATTACCGCCTCAATGTTTTCACTCAAAATCTTTTGTTCGGGGAAAACTCTCAAATCTAGAGGCAGACAACCCTCCGGTTGTCGCCGCCGGTTAAAAATTTCAAATCGTTCCGGTTGTTCCAGTTCTGATGAAAAACGCTGTTGGCTCGTTTTCGGAGCCGATCTCAGCATAGGAGATCGCGTTTTCATATTTAACATCTCGCTAGGCCCTAATTGGGGTTCGCACTGTGGATGTTTTCTAGTAGAGACCGTTCTTGGCGTTGTCAATTCAGCTCGCATGTCGAGCAATTGACGAAGACTGACCTGGTGCATGCTCCTGGTCCTGGACAACACCTCTCCTCGGAGACGATGTCCATTTTCTCGGAGTAACGTCTCCTGACGTTCTCTTGCAAATGTTTCTTGATCCATCTGTAACGTGTTCGGTGTATTTAATGCCCTAAAACGGTTTAATACAATTTCACTGTTTCGCGGAGTTTTTTCGCTATTTGAGGACTCTGTCCTTTTCATAATGTTGAAAAAAATGATTTCGGATTCAAGTTTTCAATTAGGTACATCTGTTAGATACTCTTTCTTCAGAAATTAAGTCACCTATATCGAGTAGGTTTATGTCTGTAAGAAACACATGAAATATTGAAAATGAATATTTTTCCCATTAATTTTGTGATCTGTTCTAAAATCGTTCTCTCCAATAGAAATCTCACTCACCCCTATCAGTATGTGATAAAAATCAATAACCAATTAATATGAAATGTACATTACGAAATTATGGAAAGTCAAGTCCGTACCAGAAATATGTCAAAAAACGCGATTGATGATAAGCATATTTCTGACAGTACGTCAACTTCGTTTATAGTGAGAGCTTTTTGAAAGTACCCAAATGAAAATTGTGGATGGTTTTTTGAAATGGTAGAAACTGCGTTGCTTTTATCCACCGGAAAACCGGCAGATTTTTCTTTTCGGCGTTTGAGGACTATCAACGTGTCAAAATTCATGGAAAGTGAGTATCATCTATTTTGTATACTTATCATCATCATCATATTGTTAAATACCAACTGATTCGTGAATGAATCAATGATGAGGAAACTATTTTTCACCTGATTTGTTATTATCATTATTATTTATTCAATGTTTCAACCCAAATGAGACGGTTCGAAATAAGAAAGTTCAAAAAAAATGTGTCGTTCTCATCCATTCTTTTTCTCTATTCTCATGAAAGTGAAGAAGGTGTTATTCTCATTCCTTTTTTTTCTCTTCTCATGAAATTTTTAAGTCATCTAGTAGATATGCTAGACAGAATTTCATTGGTCTGATATAACTCAGTTTCCTGATGCAACAAATTTCTTCTCAGCTTCTTCTGTTAAAAATGATCCAAACGTTAATGAGAGTAAGACAGACAAACGTTAAGAGAGTAAGAGTAAGAAAGTAAGACTTTAGTATTTAAAAAATGCAGTAGAAGACTCAACAGGCAAACTATCACGAAAGGACAAATGCAGAAGAGAAAAAAATGTTCAAACCCGAGAAGATTTTGCGGTGATTCAACAAATAGCCGAATCTCCACCTTCTGCCAACTACCCGCACATAGTGATCTTCCCGACGATGAACCACTAACATCCGCCTATGTCTGAACCCTTCAACAATTTTGACGAAGTCTCTATTGACCAGTTCGAAAACGAGTTCAGCGACAATCTTCTCATATGCCCTTTCAAGCACTCCAAAAGGTCCCACCAGTTTGTAGATCCAGACTGTTATAGGATGGGCATGTTTCTATCTACATACATGATAGACGATAGGGCAGTGAACTTGCAGCCAAGGGGTCTGCTTAATCAAAACAGTTACTGTTATATCAACTCGATTTTGCAAGCCCTGATCGCATGTTCACCATTCTACAACTTACTGAACAGTCTGAGTAAAAACATCTCTTCGAACGAGAGAATAACATCTACCCCGGTTATAGTCNAATAGAGCGGTTGAAAATTCACCTTTGGAGGATCTTCCAATATTACAACTGTCGTGATATCTCATCGTCACTTCTAATGTGTAACGAGTCTTTCGAACAGACGAGCATCACATTGAAGATTGATCGTGAACATACTGGAACTTTCGATGGTCCTAAATGAAGTTATTGAAGTTGAATACATGTATATCACTCATTAATAAGAACTCATGCATAGAGGTTATATAGATGACGTTGGCAGTTAGTAACACTATCTGTTCCTCTATATCGATATTTCAATGTTTCGAAATAAAGAGTGTTACTTCCCTATTTACAAATATTTAAGTTAAATGAACCCCTCAAGTTTTCATTCGCACAGTTCATGCAAATCGTAAAAGTCCAGTATTTATTCCGAACCAAAAAATTTGGCAAGAGTGATACTGTACTCCATCAAAAATATATGAAATACTTGCGGATAGCTGACAACCTTTGACATCTATTTCTTTCATTCACTAGTACTACAATGTCTTTCGTAATTATCAATATGGAACTCATCAGGAATTCTAACAAAAAAATTTTAGCCATAGGACTTCAAGGTGTGAGATTTTCGAGGATGAACGGTGTTCCAGAAAAAGGAGCGAATAAAAAATTTCTCACTAAGTCCATTTTGATGAACAACAATGAACTTAAGAATTTCAAGCACATAGACGATTTGGTGGAAGCAGTTTTGGAGTATCCCAGTCAGCTAGGCTGGATTGACTTGTCCTTCAATAGAATTACAGAAATAGATGAGGTATTCCAACTCTTGATGACTATAATTCACTTTCTCTGAAACAATGTACAAATTCAATGGTAATATGAACTTTATCTTATGTTCAATATTCCAATTTATGTTTTGGTTCGAGGTAGCTTACATGAAAGCAGTCAACCATGGTAAGTTACTTATCAAAATTATATATCAAAGACTGGCCGTTTCCCGTGGCTTCGCCCGCCTAGAATTCGGTTTGTCACATTAAGTTTCGTGACAGATCATTTTTTACAAATAGTTAGAATATTTATTTATCAACTCAAAACTTCAGGTTCCCAACTTCAAAATTGACGAAATTCAATTCAATCTTCAACCCCTATTTTCCCCCTTGGGGGTGGAAATTCCTGATTCCTTTTCTTGATGCTTATTTATGCTATACAAAGCACCCACCTGCATATTACAAGATTCTAGGTTCAGTAGCTTCGACTGTACGTTAATATAAGAATGTTAGTCAATCAATAGGTGTCCACTTATACAATATTGAATAGCATCAGAAATAATTAGAGTGAAGTACATTGGTAATCCTACTTCTACTAATATTATAAATGCGTAAAGTTTGTGAGGATGGATGAATGTAATATATGTATTTACGTTTTTTTACTTTTTTACGGCTAAACAACTCAACGGATTCAAATGTAAGTTGGTATATAGATAGATCATGACCTGGAATAACACATAGGGTAGGTTCACACGGTAACGCAGGTAAAACAACTGGGAACAGCTACAATTGTATAAGTGGGTACCTATTGATTGACTGACACTCTTATATTAACGTACAGCCTATGATTCTGAACTTAAAATCTTGAAATATGCAGATATGTTTATTATATAGCGTAAATAGGCATTAAGAGAGGGAATCAGGAATTTCCACCCCTAAGGAGAAAAATAGGGGTTCAAAGATTGTATTGATAGAAAAATATTGTAATTTTTCGTTTACAATGGTCTGTCATGAAACTTGAGGTGACAAACCAAATTCCACGCGGGCGAAGCCAGGGGCTTCAGTAACTGAAAAAATATACCAACTGCCCTAAGTAATGAATAGCTACGAAAATCGAATTATGTTACCTATAAAGAAATTCCGCAAAACTTATACAATCGTCAACGACGTCTGCCCTCACGCTTCTGTCCGCGTTTGTTCGCGTTCTAACAATGGCGCTTCATTGCTTAGACTGCCCCTCTACCCCCGCGCATCGTCTCCCGTCGTCTTACAGTAGAGCGAAGCGTAATGGCTAACTGCGTTGCGTCAAGTTAATCTTATCGTGATAACTTTTAAACTATTCGTCCAAATTACTTAGTGTAAAAGACACAGTTTATCTATATTAAATACTCATAACCATTACTGTATCAATTTTTATAAGATTGACAGATATTCTAAAATGGGCATTGTAAGAAAGCGGACTTTCATTTAGAACTATTCAAAATAAACAATCTTACGGTACATTATTTGCATGTAACTCCAACGGTATAGGCAGCCCACGCCAAGATAGCTCTCAGAGAGCAAGAATTTTTCCGACTTACTCAACTTCTTGTTATATTATGAACAAAATCACACAAAACTTTTGTAAATCATAGCCTATTTGTTATTCTGATGTATAAGCTGTATTTATCTAAAGTTTCATCTAAATCCGTTCAGTCGTTTGGGAGTGAAAGAGCCACAAATATACAAACAAACACATTTATATTAGTATAGATACAGTCAATGTCCCTTAGGTAATTGTAATAGGTACCTGTAATAAAGTAATAATGTTATCTGAATTATCAATACTTCATTTTGAGATACCAAGTTCATGAAAATATAGATATTAGTATAAAAAAAATAGAATGTTTCTTTTAGTACCTATCTTCTGTTCGAATTTCAATATTTGATACAAATATATATTGAAATGTTCGACAGAATTAATCTGAAAATTTTAATGGAATACTTTGTTGTTTGGATTCTCTTCTAAATCACGAGTATTGCCAAAAACTACTGTTGGATTCCAAAAGTATCATTCTTTAATTATCAAACAACTTCCAAAGTACCACAAGGTTCCAATTTGGGATAGATAGTCTCAAGGAAAAAAATGCAGTAATACAATTCTGAACAGAAATATTAACCTGCCTAGGAACCTATACGGAAATTTACACTATTGAATTGTGTGTGGAGAGATTGGAAGAATCCAGCCTTATACACAAGCCAATAAAAATATTCTTGGACAATCAAGCGGCGTTGGAAGCTCTTGGCTCCTACCGAGCGACGTCTAAGTTGGTAGCAAATTGCCAAAAACCACCCTCCCCAGTGGAAAGACTTAACAGATTGTCTCTGGTCTGGATTCCTGGCCATACTGGCCTGGAAGGCAATGAGGCTGCTGACTTCCTTGCAAAGGAGGGTGCTGCAAGCAGCTTCATCGGACCAGAACCTGTCATTAGCATCGCTTTAGGCTTTGCCAAACAAAGACTGAATACCTGGATGGTAAGAAGATTCATGGACTTCTGGCAGAATCTTCCAGGATTGGCTCACTCCAAGGCGTTTATTCGCCCTTCGAAGCTTGATACCAAACAGTTGTTGGACTCTAGGTATGAACTACGATGTATAACAGGCCTTCTTAAAGGTCACTGTTATTTATATCATTATATGCAGAGACTTGGACTGTCGAATGACAGTGTGTGTCGCTTTTGTTTGGAAAATGATGAAACAGCAGAGCACATACTTTGTACCTGCTGTTTTTAAAGTTCGTCAGAGCCGTACTGTTACCATCTGACCTGAAAGACCATACAAACTAATCGGCTTCGTTAAGAAGCTGGGTTTATTTGTTTGAGTGTGAATAGATGTGAGCCACAATAAACCCTAGGGGGTTGCTGTGGAGGGTTGAATAGACCCACTCACTTTGAACCTAACTTAACCTAACCTAATACAACCGAAGGGTATTATTCAAGCCTCATATTCCAAATACCACATTTTTTGCTAATATAATGTTAAGTTTCTTATTAAGGAATGGTAGGAAATTTTGAGGTTCATCAACTCGTAACATTGTTGTTAAACTTTATGTACGGAGCAAATCAGAAAATTAATATTGAGATGGTATTTGCCTAATATAACCCAAACTTATAGCCTAATAACAATAACATAAGTTTTTTATGGCAAAAATTCCGTTACATTTATCATTACTGAATAGAACATTTGCAAAAGTATATTACTGTAATCGTGCTACAACAGACATACCTATTTAAAAGATGACCAGTTGCGGTCTTTTCTTGTAATCTTAACTTAAACGTTCTGTGAGTTTATAGTGATATTCACTTTTTATCATTTTTTTTCTTTCTTGAGGTTTCAGTAAATACCAGGGGACTATTTAGTTAAACTCCTTGGTATATGTCGGCAATGTTTTTTGATTTCTGCAGGACAACTGTAACATATATATGAGTGATTACATATCATTTGATATCATTTCCTATTTACTTTCGTGAAAAAATGGATTTATATGAAAACCAAAAAATCATAAATGAAATCAAATGATGCAATTGACTGACATATTTTTAAATCAGGGGGAAACTTTTGAATATAGGGTGATATAAGTTTTTCATTTTGTTTTTGCAAAATTAATGTATACAATTCACTGAGATTATTGAGATCTGATCTTTTATTTGTCGCTTGCTCTTCGTTATCCATCTCAGCCATTCCTGAAAATAATCTTGTCGTATGTAAAATTTCAGTATTATCATAATCTATATTATGGTCATACTGAATAACATGATCTGCCAAAGCACATAATTTAAGTTTTCTTCTACAGTCACTATTATGAGAGATGATACAAATACTCAATGTTCTGAATGTCTGACCAATATATATATGACTTTTCACAGTTTTTACAAGGAATTTTGTGAATTTTATTTGAGCTATTTTTGATTTCCATAGGAGTTTCGCTTTTGCGATATAAACTTCATATGGTCATAATATTTTTCAAAATTTTGATGTTTTGATTATCTAATACACTAATCCATTTATGAGTCAGTTCTTGCTTATACGGTAGGGGTCTGAATGTGACTATAGTTTGATTATTTGCAGTATTATTATGTGGAATTTGTGATGAGCTGGAAGATATATTATCTGAAGGGCTAAATAATAATTTGTTAACTGAAAGAGATGAATAGAAGTATATCTGCTGCTGAAAATCAATAAGTAGTAATAGACTTACCAAGTATCATTCATACCATCCAATGAAAATGGAAATAAATACTGTCAAATCTCTCAAGACTAGAATTAAAAGACTTTCACATTCAAATTCATATCAGAAATATCTCAAATAACTTGATGAATACTATTTTATTGAACATAGTACTCAAAAAGAGCGAACCATATTTCTGTATTTTCGCCCATCATCAGTATGGTACAACCAAGTGCAAGGATGGGCAACACTTGGTTGCCAAAAATAAGGTACCAATGCCATCTGCAGAAGAAAGCCGTTTAGATATTGTGTGTATACTAGTAAAATTATCACGGAGGCAGCTATAGCTACCTAGGTACCATCCTAGTCCAGTGTCTTGATATAACTTCATATCCATTATGGAATTGAATTTAAAGATGAGTTACTTATTCATTTATATTTTTCAGTGCATTCTCAAATTCAAATCGTTGAAAATTTTGTATTTTCATGGAAACTGCATATCAGATTTGGATCAAGTATTCAAGTTGAGGTCTCTAGAACAACTGAGGAGTGTCACATTTCATGGGAATCCTATAGCAAATCATCCACGATACCGTAGCTATGTCATTACGGTTTTATCGCAGGTGAGATACGGAATGGCATTGTGAATGAATATTTTTCCTTAGTATTTTTCATACTGGTAAAGCATGTCCATATTTTCCAAAAACGATAGGAACTCAAGTTTACCAGGGTAATCTCGTTAACGGTAATCAGCTGAATTCTGGCAAAATTGCCTCCTTCAGAATCTATTGAAAACACCTTCCCAACACCAGAACAAAAATCATTGTATCTCGACGCGCGTTTCGCTAACCAAGTTAGTTTCCTCAGGAGATCATTACGAGTCATAATGATTCATAATGAGTCATAATGATCTGCTGAAGACGCTAAGTTGGTTAGCGAAACGCGTGTCGAGATACCATGATTTTTGTTCTGGTGTTGGGAAGGTGTTTTCAATAGATTCTTTTTACGCCAGAGGTTCCACTGCGAACCATCAATTTTTTCAGAGTACCTGAAATATTGGATAACAGCACCTTTTTCACTAACGGAAAAATACGAGATGAACCAGAAAATCAAAATTGCAGGATACTAGCCAAATAAACCGAGAATATTCATCACCACTGAAATCCCCTCGCGACCCAGTGTCTTAAAATACATCAATAGCTTTTTCAGCAACCTCCACAAAGGGGCCAACCGCCCCGGCTAAAAGCCCCCAAATGACCCTAGGTTCCCCGCACGACTGACTCCATACGCTATTACCCTTTTTCACCTCAATTCAATTAAACCGCGAATAATTAACAAATCTGAAACCCTTCGCGACACCGGGTCTTCCGGAACCATGTCCGGAGGTCGAAGCGACCCGGTCAAAAGACCGCGAACTCCTCGCGGTTCTGTGCACGACTGCCTTAATTCTTTCTCAAAAATTTCCAAACTTAACACTGTTAGGGGATGTAATTCAAATAATCTCGTAAAAATTCCCACCAATCAGAAAGTCTAAAATTGTTTCTAAGACTGGTAATCTTAACGTCCTGTACATGTCCAGTGAATAAGTCTGCAAGAATTACTATTTCCTGGTATTTCTAATGTCGTGAGCCTGCTACTGATATATAGATGTTACTGCAAGGGTTATTTTGATATTTTATCTGTTTTGAATAAGAGGTATGTAGACTATCTCGATTGCCTTAATTTTATCATGTCTTTAAACCTTTGAACTCATTGAATAAATTTCGATATTTATTGTACGTTCCAGTACTTTTTGACTGTTATTCTAAATGGGGTACACAGACTGAATAATATATTTTCTACCCTTAACGTCATGATAATGAAATGAATGATGAGGTTGAATGTTCTAAATATCAGATTTCTTAAACATCGGCAGTTAATTTTAACGACTTTTCCTTTGATTGGCTTCGCTCTTGTTGACCTAAAGTTATTTCTGAAAGCTGATAAAGGTTTCCTTTTTCTACGAAAACCCATCTGTTTTGGCAGTCAATATTCAACGAAAAATAATATATCCAACTTATTACAGGGCCCATAACGATTATTTTCCTACCGATGACAACCCTGGCATTGAGAACGGACGCTTTGAGTGGACGCATAAACATAATAATAATATGAATTTATTCAATTTTCAGTACAAGGATCAGTCAATAACAATTTGAATAATCTGAACAAATTCAGGAAACCCACAAAGGACACCCTGTGCGTGAATATTACATTATAAACAATATTTACATTATAAATGAGAACAGTGAGAGTAAAATGGATTTGATAATTCAGGTTATGAAAATGTAAAAATGTGGAAATCGTAAATGTTGGAAATGTTAAAATGTAAAAATATTATCATGAAATAATGACCTGAGAGATAATCTTATGCATTGCTACGAGAGTAGTGAGCCCGCGCGAATAGGAAACATGGCAATAATGCATGCTCTGTAGTGTGAAACTCCTATCTTTGGTGAAAGGCTATATAGCTCCTTCCCAACGGAGTTGGAGAAGTAACAGTTCTACCACTCGTTGACACAGCTGGAGAGGAAATTCGCATCATGCCACCAATGGAGACGATAATAACACGTAGGGCGCTCCACATAATTGAATCCCTGAAGCCACAAGACTTATTTGGATTCAGAGGTTCATAGTGTTCTCACAGAAGAGACTGACATCTGGCAAATTACCACAGCCGTGTACAGCGTTGTCCAACCGATTTCCGAATCGAAAGGACGAAATCCCGGCCTTGCGGTTCGAAAGATTGAACGGCGTGTACGTGTACACAAGATGGAAGCTAAGATCACGTCGGCGAGACAACACGCATCTCATATCTAATGTGTGATAGATTACAGGGTGGCTAACAGGCCTTTCACGCCTCCAGCGAGGCGAATAGTCGCCAAACTGCGACATATCCATCACACTCTGAGCCAAGGAGTGCTGCTGACCACCAAACGGCAATGCCTTGATAGGATACGAATGCTAGTGGCTGCTGAGAAGTCACTAGTAAGGCTTCTCGCTTATTCCAAGAGCCTGCAAGTGTTGTTACAATCCGCCGATCGGTGATCAGGTGGAATCATTTTGAAAGGATATCTATGAACACCCGCATTCACTTTACTTAGATACTCCAGCCCTAGCGCAGTTCGAAGCTTTCAGCAGAGAACTATCTTGCATTTGCTCAGAGACGTTGCGGTACCCGACAAAATAGTGAGATGCCTTGAACAACTGATATCACTCTGGTGGATTCGCTTCACCATAACATCTGGTTGAACCAGAGTCCAAACAGGGTGGGTCACTTTCAGAAGGGGTGTATTTTAGGGCGATTCCCTCAGTCCCCTTCTCTTTTGCATCTCACTATTGTCATTATCCGTTGCGCTCAAAAATACTCGAGGGTATAGATATTCCCTCGAGTGGCACTTCTGAAAATCTGAAGCAAAAGGTCACCCATTTGTTTTATTTGGATGAACTAAAACTGCGTACCTCTGGCGAGAAGGATCTCCGTCGGTCCTTGAAAATGGTGGAAGAGTACACGCATGCTATCGGTAGGAAAGTCGGGATAGACAAATGTGCAATGGTCCATCTCGAAAGAGGATGATGCGGGGACTACGGAGACGATGTGCACCTCGTAAATGGAAGCATCTTACACTATCTGGATGCCTGAGAGACAGTCACCTCGGGGTGGAACAACGCCACTTACAAGAGGCATCAGTAGTGAAAAACTCACACTGTAGCAAGTATCAGCACAAACTTCGACAGATCTGGGAAGAACAGAGTTGCTGCAACAAATATACTTGTCGTTCCAATCGTACTCTACGTACTCTTCGTATTGAAGTACCTGGAAGAGCTATATATCAACTCGACGTAAAGACCCAAAAATGATGCATTTCCATAGGAGATTCCATCCTACATCGTCCGTTCCCCGGTTGTACATCCCCCGACAACAGGGAGGCCGTGGACTTTTGAGTTTGGAGTTTCTATATGACGGAGTATCTCCACGATAATTTTGGTATTTTACATATTAATGGTAAATAAATGTAAATATATAAATATGGGTATACACTGATCGAGATTATAAAAGGAGAGAACCGAATTGAAACAAATACCTATCCCTCCAAATTCTTCTTGAAACTAAGTTGTGGTCGTGATTTCAATTCGATGGTAGTCGATTATATAAGCGTTCAATGTTATAAGAAAAAGAGCCTCGAAAAAGAGAGGTTTCATGTTTAGGTTCAGTCAAAAGATGTTTAAATCTCAAATTTAGGTTATGTACATCGGTACTGAAGGACAATTTAGTGAATAGGTGAGCAGATTTTCTAGTAGATATGACCATATGGTAATGTTATCCATACATGTCCTCTCTTTTGCATATCAACTTCTGTTTGATTGATAATGTTCATATAATATTGAAGATAGTAGATCACGTACCTGAAATGTATTGATATCCCCACTTTCTATTTCCAGAGAGGTTTTGTTCGTTGCGTTTTGGAAAAACTGTCCAGTGAAAATCTCATAATGAAGTGTTTCTTGAATACGCTATGGATTTCCATCAAGTATCAGCCGATTCCATCAGACATCATATGATAATCATCAAATTGACTGTCTGATGTATCCGGCTGTGTAAGCCTACATACCACGTGATCAATCATTAAATTGCAGAAACTCTCGGAAATATCGAAAAAACTTTGATTCAACAATATTTTATTAACAATATCAATCAAAAAATTGCTTGTTCTCAAAACTTAACTGACTGTCTGTCAGCGTTTACGGGATCCCCATGAATTTGAATACCCTGTTCTTTGATCTAGAGACGATGAAGGTATATTTAGATCCTGAAGTATTATTTGGAGATATTTGAATAGAAAGTCTCACACTTGGTTGATTTGTGTCCGAGGCTTCGAATGATTAAATTTACAGTGGATTTTCTGCAGCAGTCAATTCGTCTTTAATTTATGGGACAAGCAGAGGCGTTAAGAATGTGTTTCAAAAAACAATTGAGGTTATAGGAGAGAAATATGCCTGCATAAATTAAATTTGTGACTGAAATCGAGATTACTAATCCAGTTTTTTCATATATGTGAAAAGCCAAAACACATTTGGTCTAACTTATTCAAAGCGAATCGATGACTTTCAAATCTTGAACCGGAACTTTCAAAGAAATTCTCGATAGTTTATTGACTAAGTAGGTATACAAATGTGCAATTGGGATGCCAGTTTGGTTGGTAAAACGCATGTCGAAAAACGAATTACAGTTCTGATTTTGTTAGGGAACAGTACTTGTATAGGAGTTATTCTATGTCAAAAGTTTCATTCAACCTTTTCATCATTCAAAACGTTAGTGTATGATGCACTTGGTGGTGTTTCTATATTGGCTGGTTTTGAAGGTCCCTATATTCAGAAACCATTTCAGTACTGGTTTTGGTCATTTTGGTTCAGGGCCGCTGGACCTACTGACAATTTCATATCCAGGTTACCCTGCCGTCCGTTTAATACCGTTATTGGTTGGCACAACTACTTTCGTATGGCTGAATTCACGTGATAAGTTGACACAAATTCATAAATGGATGACTAAACTCACCGGTTACCATATCTCACATGTTGAAGTTAACTTAATCTAAGCAAAATCGAGAATTGGTCACTTCACTTGGATAACTGCACCGTCCGCAGAAATTCAGGGACGGAGTTTATCATTTTGAATTCTATTCAGGGATCGTCCCTCTTATCATTTCTCATATATGTTATTTCTCCGCAGATTGCTAATTTGGATTTCATGCCAGTAGTTAAGAATGAAAAGTTGCATCCTGCACCTAGAGAAGCTGTTAAGAAACTAAAGAAGAAACCGAAGACTAACACATCAAAATCAAATAACGATGGTTTCAGTTCAGATAAGTAATATTTTTATAGGTTTATACTTGAAATGATTTCTATGTTTACATATACTATTATATAAATAACTGAATATACGTGATACAATTCGATATTGACTATTGACTATACTGACTATATTTGTGGGATTAGATTTGTGCGGAGTACTTCAGAATAAATTCTCCAAGAAGCGGTTATTTGAGCTGCTTGAAGCATATTCTGGTTATTAAATTCATATTCTTCGAGAATTTTGTTCCACCTTATGAGCAGCATGGTAAATAAAACTCTCCTTCAAAACTTCAGAGAAAGTCTGAATCAATAATATGTTCTTTAGAAAAATCCATCCAACGCATACACATGTGGTGGTAATTATAAAATAATTGCCCATAGCAATTTTTCTCAAAATACTCTAAATGAAGGCATCCTCCTTTTCTTTTGAACGAGACAAGATATACTGATCTAACAAAGTTTTCAATGAATATTTTATCAAAACTCACTTCCGTTCCCAATGAATGTTCTGAATATCTACCATTCACCTTCAGACTAAAATATACGTATATTGACAAATTAATTTCTCACATTGAATTTTTATGGAGTAATTTGGTTCCAAGATAATATGTGACTGCAATAGCTTTGAAAATACTTAGAAATATTTAGAACGACAAACGTGCGATACATGCAGTTAAGAGTGTATCAAGAGTTGTCGTTGAGAAAAGTAACAACAGTTCATATATCATCTGTAGTGCAATACAATAGTTACAGAAGATTTCTCTTTAACACTCATCCCAATTTTATAAGAAATATTTTATTTCCATAAAATATGTTTTACTGTCGACCAGTTTATATCTATTAGTCACTTGTTGAGCAGTGTATGAAATGTCAAACGCTGACAATTTCACTAGTGGCGGGTAATTATGGATGCGCAGGGGTCCTAAAAAATGAAACTGTGAGACACAAACATCAAAAGTTCCGACAAGAGTGACACTATTGGTTTTAGCTATACTGTGCTTTGACATTCCATTCACAGAAGCGCAAAGCGCACACCAATGTTTGCATTTGGAAACTTTTGTATTTTTCTTGGAGAAAATAATTCTTTGAATAACACGTATTATATTGCATTCAGTGTTAGTTACCATACCATGAAATTTAATATGTATATTCGGTAGGTCTGAGATTAGGTTTCAATCTATTTTTCATGCTCCTAAGTGATGAAGTTGTTCCCCCCGAGACTTTTTTTGATTTTTTCAGAAAAATGTTTTTGTTTTATTTTTTTATAATATGACACCAAAAATACATTAACCCTCAATTTTCACCCTTATATCACCAACCCCTATTTCAAATATCCATTTTAGTAATTTAATCATTTTTAACCCTGATCATAGGTCGCTTATTCCCACCAGGCGTCTACCGGTGTCACTCCTCACCACCGACATAACTTATAACGGTTATGTCGATGCTCCCCACTCAGTAAACAGCACGGAGTAGGGATGAGAAAGATGCCGGTCTCCTGTCTCTTCCACCCAATAAGCCTTTTCTCACTGCCTACACTACACAGTTTTCGGTCACTATTATTGTTTACTCATTTAACGTAGATACAGTTTGCGATGCCACCGAAGCTGTGAATTATCCAACAGAGATTTTGAACTCATTGGATTTGCCAGGCATGCCACCACAAAATTTACAACTGAGGGTTAGATCGCTCCGTAATTTGATTCCACCACGACTGTGCAAAGTCACTCGAATATAACCCCCAATTCTTATACTTCTATCGCCAACCCCTACTTTTAATAGCCACTTTAGTAATTTATCATTTTTACCCTGATCATAGATCAGTTATTCCCGCCAGACGTCTACCGGTGTCACTTCTCACTCAGTAAACAGCAAGGACGAAATAGGAATGAGCACGAAGCCGTCTCCTTTCTCCTTTGCAGAACAAGCCTTCTCTCACTGCCTGCACAGTTTTCAGCCACTATTATTGTTTATCCATCGAGCGTAGATATAATTTGTTATGCCACCGAAGCTGTGAATTATCCAACAGAAAATTTGAACTCATCGGATTTGCCAGGCATGTCACCATACATAATTTACTGCTGAAGATTAGATCGCTCCGTAATTTGAATCCCCCACGACAGTGCAAAGTCACTCGATTATTCATTAAAACATTAATGAAAAAAGTTGCCGTTGCCATTGATATCACGAATCCATATCATAACTACAAATGTGCTAATTCATTTTAAACGTGTGCAAATTCTAATTAGATTGGCATTTGCAATGACTATTAATAAGTCCCTAGGCCAAATAATGTCCGTTTGTGGCTTGGATTTGAGCACATCATGTTTTTCACGGGGACAATTATACGCGGCATGTTCTCAAGTAGCCATTTCGTTTGTGTTAGCTGAACATCGACTAACGAAAAATATTGTACACTTTATAGCATTAAGGAATTAATATTATTTGTAAGTGTCATTGTTCTTATGAAAATAATGTATGTGGTAAAACAACGTTTGCCGGATCAGCTAGTAATAATATACTATTTCACCTCTTCTTCCTGGTTCCCATTTACTGTTTTCGATATGACTTTAAAATTTTCCACTCAAACTACCCATTTAAAATGATTAAATGGCCAAGGTCATGGAAATCTGGTCAAATAATTGTCATGCAATAATATCTTCAAGCCTAAGTCACAGTGTAATCTGTGCCTAAGTGTACAAAAACAAAAACTTTTATTCGTTAGCTGTCAGTTGAAGTGTCAAAGTGTTATAGTTATGAAATAATGTGGTTAGGTTCATGTTCATAGAGGTTATATTTTGACTTAGTGGATCTATTTTATTGAATACATTTTAAGTAAAAAAGAGTAAAAAAATGATGTAAAATGGCTAGGATATTTAATAAGCTGGTATATATTCATAACATGGACTTGTAATACTTTACTGTTAGTATTAATTTCAGCACAACATTTCGGAAGATGAACAAAACATGGAAGAAAACATAAGTTGGATTATATACATTGCCAGTCTTACAGAAAATTGCATGGATTCTAATGACATAGAAATTGCCTCAAAAATTATATCTTATAGAGTTCCATTCAGAAGTTATTTTCCCGAATTCATTGATGTTCTGAAGGAAATTGATGTGAAAAAGGGTATATCATTGTCTAACTATAAAATAGCTGTGGCAGATAAGTGGTTGTTTAAAATTATTCTCTTGAATTCAATAAAACACTTCAATATTCTTCATGAAAAAACTGAAAGTGTCGATTATTACAAAACAGAAGTGTTAATTTCTTTAGTTGAGTACATCATTGAGCTCATAGATATAGTAAAAGAAAACTCATTTTATCTCTTGAAAACTCTTCAATATTTACTGAAGAGACAAGATATTCTATCAAATTCTTTGAGTTGTGATGTTCTGAAATGTATGAGTAAAGTAGCCTTGTCGCCGATAATAGGTTTCAAACAAATTGCTCATGGAATCTCAAAAATAGTAATTAATTTTCTATCTTTTGAATCGCTAGAATCAATCCATAATAGTTTGATATTACCTGTAAGAGGTATAGAGACTTTTCCTCTCTTGAGGCTACTTCCAGACCATTATGTTATAATAAATCTTAAGACATTAGTCAAAAAAGTTTTGAAAATGTTCACCAACAGTATTGAGAGTAAAGATGGAGGTTTTTTATACGATAGACTGCTGATTTGTAGCTTTGAAAATTGGCGTAACCAAATTTGGCCATATTTTTGCAAAAAATTGCTGAAAATTGAGTACGAAGGGTAAGAATTTGGAGACTATTTTTGAATAAAGCAATCATCATATTCATTTCAGTGAATTCTACCAAAGTCTTGTGAAGTATTGGATACCATCCAGTGTTTTAGCTTACAAAACAGAATTTTATGATTTTCTGAAAAATGAACCAATAGATCGAAGACTGAAAGCATCTATATTACTCGAATCGAGGAAACATGGATACCCACTGAAAGATGTAAGCCTTTTCTTTTACAATGTTGACACAAGAAATCTAGGACTGAGACTGGCTGCAACTTATAGAAAAAAAACTCTTTGTCCAATAATAAGTGATATCAAAATCATGATGGACTTCTTGCACTCCAATTTGAAAACATGTCTTGAAGACAATGAATTGAAGAGTCTCAGTTTGATGTTTTCCCAGGTCTTCTTTTATGCACATAATGATTTAAAAAGAGGCTGTGAAAACATGAATTTTTATGAGAAAGTTGTTAACGAAGCTTATGAATACTGCTATGGAAATCTAATTACAGATCATTATGAAGTTGGTGCCCAACTGTTACAGATAATATGGACAACACTGACAGGTAATTTTTTTTTGTATGTTTGTCTTTGATTGCCTTTAAATTCTCCCACATATTGTTGCTTGTTGCGAATCATTGTTGCATGAATCTGAGATTCATTATCTTCATAAAAGAGCATTTGAAGTTATGTTACAATCCCAGTATGCAATATAAACGTATCTTTTGTGATCCCCTCCTGAATGATTTTATAAATTGTTCGTATTTAAAATCTCTATTTTTCAAGAAACAGCACTCTAATATTTCGAAATTGGGGTTTTTTATAATTATATTTTTATGTGAAAAGAGTTGATTACCAAACAATTTCTGCACGTGGATACTTTTATCTCCAATAAGCTGTTGTTTTCCTTGAGTTCCTTAAGAGTTCTAAAAATTGTCAATCTATTGACGCCGGCCATACTCGCGCATTTTTGCACCAAGTACGGATATTGTATTTTAAAAGAATTATAAATATTCATAACAATTGTAATTTCATTTATATATGTGCTGACAGTTTCGGGCGCTTCACGGTTCCCGAACAACTAGCTTCTTTGTTGTATAGCTTTTTATTCAGCATGGGGCTCTCGAAGTGAATTGAAGAATATCACAACCAACCCCTCTAGCATGGCTTTTAAACTCCTAACAGAAAATGATGTAATATTTTCTTTCTATGGAAAAAGTCAAGTCAGTCCTATTGATTGGTGCAATGTGTCCGTTGACGGTATAATTCAAAGGAATATCTATTTATACCACATTAAAAAAAAAACAGATTTCTCAACCCCCTTCAATTAAATACTTATTTGTTTGAGATTGTATTCTTATGATGCACTGTTTGGAACCTTTGTTGTAGTAATGAATATTACTGGAGTTTTTTTTCCAACACCAAATCGTTATTTTTAACACCTCGACACGTATTTTGATCACCAAGTGATCATCTTCAAAGAGGAAGATTAAAACTAAGGACTAGTGCGAGCTAATCCTATTTATACTATAAGGGTAACTCATACACGTAAACCATCCAGGCATACCAACCTAAATTAATTTAACAATTTTGCCTTATCTATTATTTTACAATATATGTTTATATAAGACAATTTTCAGCTATATAAATATGAATTTCACAATATTGCCTATCCAAATTTATTTTTGCAATGTGTCCTTATGTAGTAATCAGTAAACCCAACAACATTATTTTATTTTATTTTAACAAGCTATATAGTATGCTCTTTGGTATAGGTCCGTTATCGTTATTCATAATATTATTGTGTTTACTTATTTCTACACTCTCATAGGCATCTAGTTGCCTGTTGTTGTTAACTTGTCTAACTAATCTCAATGAACTAAAGTCTATGAAATGGTTTTGTTGCAAAATATGATGGGCAGTCGCCCACGAAGCCGATTAGTTCGTATGGTGAGTGGTCTTTCAGGTCAGATGGTGAGAGTACGGATCTGCCGAACTCTAAAAACCTGATTTGGTCCCCAGCGGGGCAGGCACAAAGTAAATGCTATGCTGTTACATCATTTTCCAAACAGAGGCGACAGACACTATCTTCCGACAGTCCAAGTCTCTGCATATGATGATTCAAATGACAGTGACCAGTAGGAAGGCCTGTTAGACATCGTAGTTCATCCCTACTGTAGTCCAATAACTGTTTGGTATCAAGTTTCAAAGGATGGATAAATGCCTTGGAGTGAGCCAATCCTGGAAGATTCTGCTAGAAGTCCATAAATCTTCTTGCCATCCAGGTGTTCAATGTTTGTTTGGCAAAGCCCAAAGAGATGACAATGCCAGGTTCTGGTCCGATGAAGCCGCTTGCAGCACCCTTCTTTGCAAGAGAGTCAGCAGCTTCATTACCTTCCAGGCCAGTATGGCCAGGAATCTAGACCAGAGAAAATCTGTCGTTTTTGACAATTTGCTACCAATTTAGATGTTGCTCGGTAGGAGCCAAGAACTTCCAACGCCGCTTGACTGTCCGAGAATATTTTTCTTGACTTGTGTGTGAGGTTGGATTTATCCAATCTTTCCGCACACAATTCAATAGCGTAAATTTCGCTTGAAATGCAGTCGCATAAGTTCCTAGGCAGGTAGATATCTCTGTTCTGGGTCTGTGACTGAAAACACCTGCACCAGAACCGAAAGGTGTTTTTGATCCATCTGTGAACCAACAACTATCTGTTCTTAATATTTCCTTATCCCGGAGGATCCAGTCCTCTCTACCCGGGAATAGTCCCTTATAAGGCAGTTCGTAGTTGACAGTTGGAGGCATAAAGTCAGAGGTCATTTCCAGAATGCTGTGACTTCCAGTGTCAACCAACAGTCTGTTGTACTCTGCATTTAATCTATTTATGCAATTGGCAATGTGCACAAGTCTGTATGCAGTCCATCTAGCCTCTCTCTCCAAAAAAATGTGGAGAGGAGGTAGATCTAGAAAGATCCCCATGGCCGCTGACAGTGTGGTACTGATGGCACCAGTGATAGCCAGACAAGCCTGTCTCTGTAAACTAGAGAGCTCAACTTGGTCCGTTTTCTGTAAAGCCATTGGCCACCAAGCAACGGCATCAGAAGTGATCATTGGTCTGACAATCATCACATAAATCCAATGGATTAAAACTTTTTCCAAGTGAGTCTTTTATCAAGGACAATGCCAAGATATTTCACCTTGGTTCCAAATGGAATGACCTCACCGTTGAGGGAAATTGGTGTTAGATCGTCCAATTTTCTCCTCTTGGTGAAGGTGATTAACACAGTTTTGCTGGGGTTGATAGACATCTGCTCCCTCAGGCACCAACTGTGAACAACGTCCAACGTGCTTTGAAGAATATTACAAGCTACCTTTCCCGACGAGGACCTTGCCAGGATGACAAGGTCATCTGCATAAGCTTACAGATCAACTTTTTTCCGACAAGGGAACCAAGCAGATTATCCATCAGGAGCGACCACAGAAGGGGAGATAGTACCCCACCTTGAGGGCAGCCCCTGGTAACCCTGAACCTCGTCTTGAAGAGTCGTAGTTGCAGTTTTGTTTACTAGCATGGTATAGATCCAGCCAGTTATGGTCGATTCTATACCCTTTCTAGCCAGAGACAATCCTATAGATTTAGGTAGTGCATTGTCAATACTCCTTCAATATCAAGAAATACAGCAACCGCAATCTCCTTGTTGTCAAGGGATTGGGAGATTTTCTCAACGAGGTTGTTTAATGCTAAATCTGTCGATTTGCCGGTTTGATAAGCATACTGGTGGTTATTCAGGGGGATGCATATAATGCTACCCTCCTGATATGTCCGTCCAATATCAGCAGGAAGGATGAAAGGCTGATTGGTCTTACCGATTTAGGGTGTGGCTCTCTCCGACCCACTCTCCCCACAATTTTTTCTATAAACTTCATTACTTTGTCATTTCTGATTTGTGGTTAATGGATTTGGTATTTATATAGAATAAAATCATTTAAAACTTTCCTCTTTCATTCGAGACCATAGTGAAGTGGGATATCTCCACTATAGAAGCAGGTGTTCTAAATGTTTCTGCAGTCTGTAAAAAATATTTCTGGGATTGAGTAAACTGCCTTCTATTTTTTAAATTCCAGTCATTCATATTTTCAATCAGTTTCAGCAACAGATTAAAACCTTTTCTATTTTCTGAAATTTTTTTCAATTTCACAATTTTTAGCATAAATTTGATCTTTCATTGTTATAAGAACTATATAAGAACAACTGCAAATCGTTTGAGAAAATTATCTTAGATATAAAAGCAATTGAACTGTAACGAAATGACTATTGTATTTTCATGTCCCAATGTGGAATATTTTTCTGATAGAATGCACGAAGGTATTGCCAGAACATTTTCCTTCTTATACCTTGTATAAGTTTTCCAGTTTATCTCACAAAAGTTTCTCTTCTATCTAATCAATGTTTGTCATCAGTCTACTTTCATTTATATTTTACCTTAGATATTTGTAGTTTTTACATTTCGACCATCATTGTCTAATAGAATGAACAAATTTGGATGATCGACAGGTTGCAATAAAAGTAATATTGAAATAATGGAATTGATAAACAAAATTATTTTTATCGACTTCCACATTCAGACTGCAGAAGGTGAAAATGTCCAAAAAAGTTCGATGAAAAACTCTGATTTCCTTCACTTTTGTTCAATAAGTAATAAGATGAAATGCAAATATGAAACTAAAATTTTTTAAATTTACTCAACTTTTTAATTATCCAAATATTTCTGTTCCTGTTGTGAACTTCATTCAAACATTTACTATTCTTACAATATTTATTGACAAACTTTTTCAGGGTCTCATATGGATTTAACTCTAATCTACAAAGTGGACAAGAAGGATATTTATGGCAAAGGAGAAAATCTGTTATACAAGGAACTGAAAAATTCAAACAAGTGGAAATTTGAAAACAAAGTTCTGGTTTCGAGACTTGAATGGTGTTTTGTGAGAAATGATTATTACAGTCCAAGATTGACTAACCTAATACTGCATTATTATTCACATCACACCTTTGTCAACGTAGATATCCTTAAACAAGTGATCGCAAGGATTGAAAACATTTCAACTTTACACAATACAGAGAAGATTGTCAATTGTTCCAATATAATTTTCCAAACAGGGTTGCAACTAGAAAATGAAAGTTTCATCGAAGAAATTAGACACTTACTTTTAGAACATTTGTTTCATGATACAAATGAAAATAAGTTGTTCAAAAGTGTTTTGTACTTGGAGATTTTAGCATCAGCTAGAAGACATAATTTCAAAGTACAAAATTTTGAATTACTCATAAAAGAGTCCCTTGGTTTGATAGAGTTTGTATTAGAAAGTGATTTTATAGAAAATGCTTCATATAAATCCAAAAAGGTTTTTGAAACTTTCGTAGCTGTAAGTATACAGTGGACACTTTCAATTATTTCAATATTGTCTACAACGAATAAGAGATGTGTTGATTTTCCTTAAGATTCCCATTGGAGTTTAAACGATAGTTCTCAAGATGTTTCAATAGAACATTTGGTTTTCTACTCATTTCATTTTATTCACAAATATCCATAATGGTTAAAGCAGAAGCAAGTAAGTTTTCCTTAAATATTTATTTGAATTTTCAATTTAAGATTTAGTTTATATCATTGTTGAGGATTGTTTTGAAATGGGGATCTCTCACACCCTAATTGTTGAGGGTTGAAAAATAATTTTCATTTTGTGATATTTCATAAAGCCAACTGGTATATGAAAGAAAATTATATTTTTCTGACTGCTTATCTTGCCATTATCTGACTGCTTATCTTGCCATTTGTCAAGTGTACACCAACCTACTTTCCGCATACTATTCTTGATGAAATTTTCAAAAATTTCAAATTTTACTGTTTAATATATCTGGTGTACGTGAGGTTTATATTGTTAAATCTATGATAATGAAAATGTATGATATGTTGATTCACTATTCTTTTTGTTATTAATATAACATTGCCAACTACAGTTGCATTTGTTGTTTTTAGCTGAAATACTCATCAATGTTGCCAATCATGAAACTCCTGAAACATGAACAACCACTTCCATGTGAATATGGTTAATTGAGCAGAATTATATTCATTATGTAATGTTTTAAATATGTCTTTAGTGGTTACCTTATTCTAAATTGTTTCAATAAAATGGATTGGCCAATCACTTTTTGAAAAAAACATTCGTGAATGACATTATTAACTTGATATTATATTCCTGTCAATACCCAGATAAGGACTTTTGAACTTTACTGTTAATTGAGTACCAAATTAATATGCATCTCCAGTGATTTATATTATCACATTCCTCTTTGGCACAGTCTTGACAGTTAATTTTTCTCTAACATTGTTTGCTCATATGTAACTTTCAAAATTACTTGATGCAATATACCATAGGTTAGTAGTAAAATACATTTAAAAAAATTAACTATTTCGACTTAAAAGGAATATATTTTTAGATGATCATTTTTTTTTAAGAAATGTTTTGGCTTTCTGCTTCTCCACCTTCAACAAAAAAAAAATGTGCAAATGTAACTTTCAGACAAAAACTGAAAAAAAAATCCCTCTCGAAACAACTACTTTCATATAAACATTAAATTACACGAATGAAAAAATACTTTTGAAACAACTATTATTATATGAACATTATATAAAAAACACTCTTTCCAATTCAGTTTGCACTCCAAACAACATTATTTAATTGAATCAGATATCATTCACAGGAACACTACACAATATATTTTATGAAATAGGTAAAATTTCACTTGCATGGAACACGGTTATCCTCAATGGGGGACATTTCTGTTTCGGAATAAGACACTTGCCTCATTGCCTATGTCGTTGTTAACAATGTCAGGTTTTATATTACCTTAAATAAGACAGTTAAATAGTCTAGTATTCCACATGGCTTGTTTCTAGAAAGGTTTGTTGGATAGCAGGATCAAATTATCTTGGAAAAAAACGTTTAGAATTCAGTTGGATTTTTTTCAGAGCTTTGTTACAATGAATTGTATAAAACAAACTTGCAACAAACTTTATAATTGTTATCGTTTTCCCATGTTGAAACTATAACTGGATTAAAAAATCATCAGACATGTTAGATACATATAAAAAATAAAAAAGCACTATTGCGAACAAAATATTTTAGACCAACGTAACACAATGACATAAATTATTATTATTAATCAAGAGAATGGCTTCATCTATAATTTTGATAAGGGGGTAACTGTTTTTAATGATGTAAAAAATAATTAGAGTAGAAAAAAATATTATTTGGGTACCTGACAGATTAAATTGAAATGTGCAGTATTGAGACCATCGGCACCCCTTCAGTGTTGACACGATCGCGTTTAAAAATATTTATCATTTCGTTTAAGTCTTTTAGACAAATATTGTTGGATGTTTGAAATGAAAAATTTGCCCATGCTCTCTTTTATGATTAACGTGGGGCTGTTGATATTTAGGTTTTTTCGAATCTCTCATGTGTTAAGGAACTCGTGTTTTGAGATAACGTCCCGTTTGGCCAACATAGCATTTGTGACAGTTTTCACAGTTCAATTTGTAGACTATTTTAGATTCTATATCTAGCGATGTTTTAGTTTACTATTCAGAGAAAAATATTTTCCGACAGTATTTTCATTTGAAAAGGCCCCCTTCAATTTGTTCGTTTTTCTGGGTAGCAGGCCAAGTTTTTCTGACAAATTTTCAATAGAGTGAATTTTATATTTTTTTTGTGTTTGCTCTGATACTGTGAGGAGAGGAACTGTTTTGCTTGATTGTTTTTCGGATAAGCGCTCTTGCTACTTCTGAAACTTGGTTTGCATCTTCAATAATTTCGGTATCTAGGAATGCTAACGAATCATTTTCTTCAATATCCAGAGTAAACTTCACTTTTGGATGAAAATTGAAAAGTGTCTAATATTTCATACTGCTCATTTTTTAATATGTTAGGAATGACACGTTAAAAGATAAGACTTCGATAATCCTTAGCTCACAGAAGTTTCGACTTCTGAGGGTTGTCGTTCGTAGGGGTGCGACAGCTGGTTAACGGAAAAACACATTTTAGTCTGCACAAATGGGTGACATACAATTTTCTATTCCCAATCCGAAAAATTGTTCGTAAAAGAAGCAATGTAACAAAAGTAATTTGTTACATTCTATGAAAATGTTCGAGTGTAAAGTGGTGAACCTCGAAATTATTTTCTACTTCTTTCTGATTATGTCCATCGAGAGCAATAGGAATATTACAAAAAAGAGAAACCACGTCTTACATCAATGAAAACAGGTACCACCTTGTCAAAATTATTTATAGTTTCAATATGGAAAAACTCCTTTTTGTTGAGTAATTTTATTACTACTTCTTACAACATCAAAAACGAAACAACAGTTATGAAGTTTGTGGCAGATATATTTTGTAAAATTCGTTGTTACAGAGCCCTCACAAGAATTCAATAAAATTAAAAATGGTGGCAAGAGCACAATTGTTTTTTTAAAATAATTTGATTGTATTACCCAACAAACCGTTATAGAAACCTCAATTAGTGTTTACAAAAAGTGGTTACCATTTTCAGTACACCTTTTTTACAATTATAATTTAGAGATATCATGTAGAAATCAAATATTTCCAGAAACAAATTCATTGTTTTTCACAAAATTGCTCGTTCTATTGATTTTTCCTAGCTTTTTATCTAAGATATATTCCTAATATCGGCTGGGGTTAATTTGAACCTACTCATATGTTGGTACGAGGTGTATGTAATAATACTGTTTCATATTCTTAAACTATTTCAAGTTTATACAATATCTGGAAGCATTATAACAATTTTCTCAATTCCTGTGTATAGTAAAATTATTTCATTTGTCATGCAATTATTCATTGTTAAAGAATAGATACAATATTGGGATGAGTTGTAAGTGTCCACCATACATTCAAACAGTAATTAATTCATTTGATATAGCTTTTACTACTTTCAGAGAGTTATGTTTTGTATAATGGATGATCTACACTCTATATGGCAAAATATTGATAAAATTGCTACTATTACGACTCTGAAAAAAATTATCAATAGAAGCAACATGAAAAAGCCAGTTTCATTGAGTGTTGAAGTCTTAAGACAATTTGGATGCAAAATGGATGAAAGTGAAGATGATAAAGTGTTGAAAATTAAACTGTTAAATGATGTTCTGCAAACAATATATGATACTTCTCTGCGGCCAGATATGAAAATGAGACGGAATCCTGAGAGCAGACTAGTTGTACATGCTTTATGTGCCTCTCAAAAATGTCCAGGCAGGGTAAATAAATTTAATCACGCAGACGTTCTACTTTTCCATGCTCTTTATTACCCCGGAATTTTTTCAGCCTCTTCTAAAATGGGTGTTTGACTATCTCCTGAATCTCATTTCTGATTCACAGTCTTCTGATTTCTCAATATCTTCATCTTTACATACAATTGAGCTGCTTATATCTGACAATAGACTGCATCAACAAACGCTACAATTCATTCCTTCTGTGATCATCCAGTGTGTTGAAATTTTCAAGAAACCAAGCTGGACTGTCAGGTATTAATTTTTGCATCAATCAAAAATTGAATTCAGTTGGTTTTACAATAATGAAGATTAGCAAAAACTAAAAAAAAAATCAACATTACAAAGTTAAATTTCGAAATAAAATCAACCGAGGTTAATATTTGATAGGTAGAGTTGGAGCCTCAGGTGTTAAAGGGATCTATCGAAAATACTTTTCCCATATGAATATTTCACATCATTTGAATAGTAATACTTTGAAATTTACTTTTCTTGTGGCATATGGATGTAGAATAGTAAATGATGAACATACTATAATAACGAAGATAAGCTCATTACGTTGCCATGGTATAACATATATTTATTGCGTGATGTAGATGACATTGTTGAAACTTTCAGTAACTATTGGAGCATGAACATTTGATGTTCATGCTTCAATCATGACAATCAGAATTAACAAACCTAAAGCACCGTGGTTGACTGATGTCGACTGATGCAGTTCTAGCTGAATTCAAAGAATAAGAAGTGAACATGACTGGAACAACTATGAAAATTTTCAAACCATGGTTATTAAGGCAATTCCAAACGAGAAAAAAGTTATCTGAGTTAAATCAAGGATATAGTGGTGCGAAACAACAAGAGAAACATTCCTGAAGAATGATGTGATCCAAATATTTCAAAGCATCATCTCATTACATCTGTCTGCCAAGTCGCTATTGAGCCACCTGACAATGCCCTTCGCTACTATAAAGATTCCCGTTTCAAGGAAGATTTGCGATTTGAATTTAAATAAATCAACACGGAAAATACATCGACAAAACGATTTATCTCTAGTTACCAAATCTCACCCCAATTTTGTTATAAAGTGAGCACCATATGTAACGGATAAATTCATTTTCTTCGTTATTAGCCATTCTAAAGATAAAGCCTGAAACACGTCGAAGTATGTATTAGAAAAGACACTCTGTGACATAAAACAAATCCTCCTTCCTTCACCCCACTCAACGTGACGGCAACCCCCAATTTTTTTAAATGCAAAACGGGGTCAAGTGATACCTCATTTTGAAGGGTATTCAATTTTCTGTACAGCCATATCTTTATTTGTTAATTTATTGCATGCGTCAAAAAAAAATTAAATACATTGTATTATCTAAATTATTTATTAAAGCGGTAGCAATCAATGTGCAACTAATGGAAGTCTTCATATCAAATGTTCAAACTGACAGCCATTTGTTTCTTGACAATAATAAAGGCATTGCTGAAAGTTATCAACAACATCCTGAATGGTTTCGGGAGTGATACGTTCTATTTCTTCTCTAATTCTGATTTACAAACTTTCAATATTGTTTGGTCTATTGACGTATACTTTGGATTTTAGGTAACCCCACAAAAAGTAGTCAAGCGGAACGGGCTGGCCACTCTATAGCACCTCGTCTACCAATCCATCAGTTGGGAAAAAACTTCATTCAGATATGCACGCACGTCAGCTGCAAAATGTGGTGGAGCACCATCTTGCTGATTCCAGATACTCCTATCTATTTGATTCGGATTATCATTATCTGGAAAAAGTCTTTTCAGTGTTGGAACTAAAAAATTAGTCAAACTCCAAGTAACGTTCACCGGTTAATGTTTCGTTGAAAAAGTATGGTCCAATTATGCGATTATTTATAATTCCTGCCCAAAAATTTACTTTTCTGGGATATCGAGTGTGGGCCTCCATCATCCAATGGGGATTTTCTCGGCTCCAATATCGACAGTCCTGTCTGTTGACGGTTCCATTACAAAAAAAAAGTTGACTCGTCGGAAAACAATATATTTTTCTTAAACGAAGGATCCCGCAGACACTTGGCTTCCATTATTTCGCAAAAAACTCAGTTCTGCGATCTGGATCGTGTATCAATTATACTTTATAAGGGTGACACTTTTCACTTTTTAAAACACGCAATATTGAACTTTGACTTATGTCGTAATCGGCGGCAAGTTGTCGGGTAGGTTTATGTGGATTTTCCTCGATGTCTACCAAAATATCCAATTTCTTCCCATCGTCAATCAATACACTCCTGCCTGGTTTTGAAATATCTTTGACAGTCCCAAATTCACGAAATTTCGTTTCTATTCTACTAACGGTAGATTGAGAAATGTGATGATCAGGATATTTATTATTGAACATTTCACTTACATTCTTCTGGGTTCTAGTTTTGTCCCCACATCCTAGTAGTATTAACACTTCTACTCTTTGACGTTCAGTCAAATGAGACATTGCTAGAACTTTTAGCCTATTGTCTGTAAGTAATACTGAACAAGAAACACAAACAACAACTGCAAAACTGTTTCTCTTCAGCAAGTTCACAGAAAACATACAATTTTATACTCAACTGTCACGGAGGACAAACAATGGTTGGTAAAAACAAACAAATAAATTGAAGGTGCATGGCATACCTTTCAACAACTTGAATTTTTTGTTTCATTATGACGCATGCACGAAATTAAAAAATAAAGATATGGCTGTACAGAAAAATGAATACCCTTCAAAATGAGGTATCATTGGACCCCCTTTTGCATTCAAAAAAATTGGGGGGTGGCTGTCACGTAGAGGGGGGTGAAGGAGGGGGGGATTTCTTTATGTCGCAGAGTGTCTTTTCGAATACATAATTCGACGTGTTTCAGGGTTTTTCTTGAAAATGGTTAATAATGTAGAAAATGAATTTATCACTTAAATATGGTGCTCACTATATCTATATATCATTTATAAATGCCTGCAAACGTGTACTTTTCAGTAAAGAGGGAAAAATTCCCTAATTTTGTGATTTCTAAGATTCCTAAACTAAAGATTTTGAATGATCTAAGACCCATAAACGTATTATCAGTAATTTCAAAAATTGTTCAGTATGTCTCCAGCAATGATGTTCTCCCGGACCACCAATCCGGTGACTTTAGCACAATTATTGCATTTCTGTTCACTGACGACTTTTTTTCAGCAACGTAAGAAACAATCCTATTTCTTTCTATCTCTCAAGCCATTTGACACCATGAGCCACTTTTTGGTGTGGCTCATGTTTCAGTGAAAATTCATGTGATTTTTTTGAAATAACTTCTTTGTAATAGAACTCAATGAGTAGAAATAAAAGATCATACTTCCGATGTTTTGAATGTTTCCTAAGAAGCTTCTCAAGGAGGAGGTAGTAAGAGTAGTACATATTTGTGTAGTTTACTTTTATCGTCATGAAACTTAACTGGCAGAATATAATCTGAAATATTTTTATTTTCCAGGAATGCTAATCTACAGCTGGCGAAATCTTTAATTGAAAGGTTGTATGGAGTTTCACTGCACTTTTTCAATCGACCCAAATGCATAGAAGATCTTTTTTCATTATTTCCCAACTTGGCTACTTACTTTTACAAAATTCTTTCCACCGACATTCTGGATGAAAGGTCCGTAATTGTATTCCATTTCTTCCTTGAGTCGCAAATTAAAGAGCAAGTTTTTGACAACTCTTTACAAGATATTTTGGGGTACTTTCAAATGTTGTTCGTTCACATCATTAAAAACTATCAGAGTCACTTTGGAAAGTTGGCTGTAAGTTCATATGTATCTCTTTGCCACTGTAAAAATATTCCTGAAGTTTTGAATGATATCACAGAATACGTTATAAGCAAGTATACTACAATGAAAAAAAATATTTTTAGAAACTTGGTTTTTCTCATTCAAGAGTTGTATGAAAAGTATGAGAATTCATTTGAGTATTACTCCAAACCACAATCGATGGTAAAAATTCATAGAACATTGAAAAATCTGTCACTTTTTCTAGAAAAATTTGATAGTGAACTTAATGATTTTCTGTTGCTTAAAGTTCGACAAAGAATGGAAATTTTAAAGTGTTTTGAGAAGAAGACGAAATCAGAAAACAGAATATGGCTAAACAACAATATTCCTTTTGTAATTATGAATACAGAATCTTGTAATATGTATATAACTTTGGGAAAAATTCTGTTGGATGATCAACCCAGCTTCTTACACGTCAAAGTATTATCAATTTTGGTATCTAAATTTGAAAATAACTACTTTGCTGAAGAGGACATAACAAATATCTTGCAAGTGTTGTTTAAAAAGTCAATTACAGTTGATGATTCTAATTTCTATCTCCACAATTGTTATTTCAAAGTGATACTTCTTTTCATAAAATCTACTACTTGCAAAGAAATATCTCTCACAAATGTTTCTCTAGTGTTCCAAAAAATAAGACGGACGAATTTTACCGCACGGTTCAAAAACAGTTCATAAACTCATTTGGAATAAACGAAGACACTGATAATGACATTATTAGTACATTCATTTATTGCGTTCGAAATTCACCTCAACAGTTTCGTTTTGAACTTTCTAAAATGGTTTTCTATTTTTCTCAATTTGAGTCCACTCATTTAGAAACCTACTTTTTCATAAGCTCTTTCATGGGTAAATGTTATTCTGGTATTTTAGATGCTCTGAAAGATTTTCTGTCATCAAAAAATCTTTATGATTTTATAAAAAACAAATTATATGTGGATTTGTTTTTTGAGCAGGTTATTAAGTATTTAGATGAGGCGTCTGACGAAGTTGATCTTCAAAACGATTTCTATACTGTTGAAAGGGATGAGTTAATACCTACAGTGTTTTTAAAAAAATTGACATTTTTCAGCAAATGTATTCATAATAAAATATGAATTCAGGAATGAAGTTTTTATGGTTTTTCTTGACATAATATATCTGAATTTATAACTTTCATTTATTATATGCAAACGCTTTCGATAGCTGACTGTGCTGTAATCTTCAAGCCTCTACTCATTTGAGTAGACCCTTGAAGATGATAGCAAAGCTAGCACACTCAGTTTGAGTAGACCCTTGAAGAAGACAGCACAGCCAGCTATCGAAAGCGCTCGCATATATTAAATAGAAGTTATAAAATTTCATATCCTTTTTGTGACATATGTTAATATTAAAATACTGAAAATAATGGAAAATTAGTTGCATCATTCAAAGAAAATATATATACCGGGTGTCCCACATTTTATGTGACAGGCAATATCTGGTTTGTTGAAGGAGATACACAAAAATGTTTCATACAAAAGTTTTAGGAGTTCATGAGAGCTATATTTTGATATAATTTTTAAATATACAGGGTGTTTGGTGTAGGTGCTACAGACCAAAATTCCATTTTTTAAAATNTGATATTAATAATAATAATACTTTTATTGCAAAACGACCATTACAGGACACAGCAAACGTCAGGTACAGGTTTAAAAAAGCAAGTTAAAACATTATTTACAATGTATATAAATCGGGGGGATGAAATATTGAAGTACAGTACAAATCTTAAAATGTTAAAATAGTATTCTAATACAAAAACAAGAATGTAAGTATAAGCTGAATTTTAAAATCTGAGAAATACAATTGAAAGAGTATCTAAAACTAATACACGTTATTACATCCAACAATTAAAATAATTATAGCATTACTGCAGTTCCGTCCTATATGGACATTCTCAAACTAATACAATAAACTCATTTAGTTTTAGTTTATTGTATTAGTTTGAGAATGTCCATATAGGACGAAACTGCAGTAACGTTAGTTACAATTAAAAGTGGTAAAAAACATGAAATTTTCATTTCCCTTTTATGACAGAACTCCTGAACCTTTTCAGACTTTTGATATCTTTCAGTACTTGAGGTAGTGACGCGTATGCTTGATTTTTTGGTAGTGTGTGCCTTTCTCATAATAAGTTGATTTATGGTAAGGAACAGATAGCACATGTACTTACTATCAGTAACAGTAACTTACTATCAGTAAGTGACACACACATGTGACACACACACACACACACACAATTTGGTGAAGATAAAAACAGCGACACTTTAGTTGTCGATACTACTAACAGGAAGGGTACATGAACAATTAANTTATTGAGTTGTGGATTTTTTTGGCATTGAATAACATTTCAAATCATACTTACAGTATAAATGAGTGAAAAACAATGAAATGAATTGTTCGCAACGAAGCATTTTGCGTCCTCCAGAAATAATGTCTTCAGGATGAATATAATTGTATATATTGAATATTTATGTGATTTCAGAACCGAGACACTATTTCATATTTCTCTGGTGAAGACGGAATATAACCGCCCATCAAAATGCATTTTCATTTCAATATGAGTTATCTAGAGGCAAAGGGCAAATCTTTACCGGTGGACGCTTAAATGTACCTTGGGTAGTACGAACGGTGACAACTCGCACTATACCGTCAGGGCCCGGATGGGTATTAATGACACATCCTAGTTGCCAACGCAAAGTTGGCATAGCATCATTTTCAATTAGAACCATTGACCCGAGCTCAATATTTGCAGATGGTTCTGTCCACTTTACTCGCTGTAGTGGAGTGTGAAGATACTCTACTCCATCGATACCAAGAGTCTTGAGAGAGTCTCTGAACTTATTGCCAACGAGACGAACGGTTCAGGGCTAACAATTGTGAGTATTTGGTTGCCGAGAATTCTACAAAGGTCAGATTTTACCGATTTAATCTCAGCTTCCCATAACCCTCCGAAGTGCTGACTCGATGGTGGAGAAAATTTCCATTCAATTTGCTCTTCTTGTGTCGCAGCTTTCACGAGACTCATGAAGATCCTAGAAGCACTGACAAAATATGTCGCACTGTCACTAAATATATAGATATAAATGTGTCGGTGGAACGACACTAACTCAATGTGCCGTCAGTGCTTTTGTGGCAAAGCACACAAATAAACAGATATAGGACTTGATATCTTGATATCTTCCCAAAGATATCGTATATGGACCTCCATAATCTAAACCCACGCAAGAGAAGGGTTTAAGTTTAGAAACCATGAGAAGAAGTAGATTACCTATGGGAGGTTGAGTTCCAGTGGGATGCGGTCGCCAACAAATGAGGCACCTTGCAAGATATCGACGAATTGCTCTCGTGGCTGACAAAATCAAAAATATTTGAAGAAGAAGGAAGTAGGGCCTGCATACCAGATGTAGATTTTGTTTATGAGTGTTTTCAATTATAAGATCTGAGTCGGTGCCGCCTCGGCCGAAGATTTCGGTTGTCTTTTATCGTAGATGAGACCAGAGTGAATGAGTCGACCACCCACCCTCTAGAGACCATCTTTATCAACAAAGAGATTTAGCTTGCAGAATGATTTACTCAAAGTTGTATTTTTCGCTAAATTCGAAAGTTCTTCACTTGAGATTGAACATATTTCACTATTTTAAACAGAGATTGATGAGTTTCAATCGAGATGAGATAAGAAAGAGATTGTTGAGTTTTAGTTAATCAAGCTTTGTGAATGAAGCTAAGGACATAAGAACACGTTGAATTTTAGGTAACGAAGAGTAATTTTCTAACAGAGCATGAAGGAAGTTGTCCTCAGTTTGGACTATTAGAGAATTTTTTTTTCTTCGAAGATAGCCTCAGAACGTGATGTGAGTTGAGTGGAGACAGAAGGTCAAAATTCAGCTGATTGTGATAGCCACAGCTGGGCTGGAAGTAAACCCCTTGAAGAACAACCCGTTGGTTTATCCTTAGATGGCGAAAGTCGTTCTTGAATATGGCTACATGATTACTCACAAAGTTTGCCATCTATGAGGGGACGAACGTATCCAATCCAGAGCCGTAGAAGAGTCTGAACAGGCTACAATCTTTCTGGTACACAACTTTTCAGATNTCATTTCTCTTTTATGACAGAACTCCTGAACCTTTTCAGACTCTTGATATCTTTCAGTACTTGAGGTAGTGACGCGTATGCTTGATTGTTTGGTAGTGTGTGCCTTTCTCATAATAAGTTGATTTATGGTAAGGGACAGATAGCACATGTACTTACTATCAGTAACAGTAACTTACTATCAGTAAGTGACACACACATGTGACACACACACACTTTGGTGAAGATAAAAACAGCGACACTTTAGTTGTCGATACTACTAACAGGAAGGGTACATGAACAATTAATTACCTACTTACCGGAATTCTACACTATTCACTTTTATTGTTTGATTTTGTAAAAACAAACCGTGCACGGTTTCACCTACGTAAGCAATACGAAGAAAACGTATTACCATATTCACGATTGAATAAGAAACAAACAAAAATTTAAAACAATATAACCTATCTTTAATATTCACTTATTCCGTTCGGCCGTTAGATGTTGGAGTAGCGTTATCATCGGTAGAAATTCTTCTCTATAGAATAATAAAATATGACTAAGCTAATTTATATATTTTTATTGAACTGTAATATATTGTTAGCTCATTTCAAAATGAACTTAATGACTCTTAAAATACATTTAACAATTGATAGTTTCGTTTGTTATTTCAAACAAAATAGACTACAATGTATCTGATACCAAAAGGTTAAGTACAGAATAAAAGTTGAACAAAAATTAGTGGTAAGTCATAATGTTTTGTATGAAATTTAAATTAAAAGTAACTCTACTTTGGCAAAATATAACATGTATCTCACTCAGTAATAAATATTTTGTATGTCATCATTGATCATTATATTCGTGTTAATATTTGGAGATTTTGCTGCCAGGAAAATCTGTCCTTCATAATTTGTACATTCGAAGTCTTCGGTTAGAATTGTCCTCTGAAAATAAATCAAAATTTCGTTATCAAACATATGAGTATGACATAGTTATTGAGCAAAATTTTCCAGTAAAGATAGAAATTTATCATGCTAGAATTGCAAAAAACTAGTTGTATAGTGAGACACAATAAATTGAAAATATTTTTTGACATTTCCATGAGAAGAACATGCGTATGAAATCATTTATCTTTTCTTGGAATATTTTCATACAAAAGAGAGAATTCTGATGTCTCGCTGAACTCAATGGTACTCAAGATGATCACAAAAATAAATTAACCATTACGACTTCGTGATTGAATATGCAAATACAATTTAACGTAAGTTATAATATCCTGTCAAGATCCTAATCTTTCGATCAGTATTCTCATGAAATGATTTGCTCATATGCCTTGAGGGTGGATCAGAGCATGTTCTGAATACACCAGAAGTGTAAAACCTCAATCGACGTTATTTTTATAAATCAAATTGGAATCATAGGGTGATGAAATAACAGTTTAGATTGTCTCCTGAAGACGACACTTTGGATGGTAAACTCCAGCGTTTGAGAAAAATACTTTTGTTGTTTATACAGGGTTATTCAAATTCGTTTCGGTACATGGAGATCTTGTAAACGATAAGAGATAGAGTGTCGGTTAAATTGTGGCAAAGTTGCTTATTTTAGATACCTATTCAATGATGTAAAAAAATCGAATATAGCTCTTTTGGCTCTGGAGATAAATTGGAAAAACCAAAAAATCCCAAATTATTTTTTTGCCTATATCTTCTTTATTCGCAGACATATTGAAAATCTGTCCACATTTTGCTATTGGCACTTGATGTGAGGTATCAGAATATGTCCATGAATTTTTTATACCGGGTGTCATCTGACTTGCGCCCCCCCATCTTTGAATTTTTAAACACGGACCTGTATTTTTTGTATCGTCGACGTTCACTTCATACTGAGAAATAAAATTTCATTTTATATTTCGGGATATTTCGGTGATATTTGATTATAATTGGGTGAATTATTCCCTTTTAAATTACTGCCCTGGATATTGGTTGACCAAGTTAAATAACGACACAATAGCAACTTTCACGTCTCCCTATGTACTGTAGAGTTTTTAGAGAGTTTTTTTTTCATTTTTAGGTGGCTATTCATATTTTTTCATATTTCCATTGCTCTGAGCGTTTTCTACAATGAACTTCGAATAAAAAACCTTTTATAATTATCTGAAACATATCTACAACAAAAATATATTATATGTGTTTTCATGTGCAGAAAAAGAAATGATAGCAATAATAACATCTGAAACGAACACTATAATTGTAATGAAAATTAAAATAAAGTAATTTATATACACAAAAAAATTAATGGTGCAATAAATGTTCGCATTGGAATCCTTCCATTTCGAGACAAATAATGGGCCAATAAGATGGCCTGCAAGATTTTGGACTATTTTTTATTAGGAACATTGAAAAATAGGATTTACGCTGGCAGAGAGATAGAAAATGTGGAAGACTCGAGATTGAGGATTTCGAATTATTTCGCAACGATGCAGCAAATAAGTGTATTGAGGGCAATAAATATTATGAAAAACCGAGTTCAAAAATGTTTCGAAATGGAAGGACTCCAATTCGATATTATTTTTTTTGTGTATATAAATTACTTCATTTCAATTTTCATTACAATTATAGTGTTCGTTTTGGATGTTATTATTGCTATCATTTATTTTTCTGTTTTTCTGCTTATTAAAACACNTACAATATTGATGATAGTTCATGGGCAATTCTTAAAAAGTCTTTGGTGCCATGAAAAGAATAAAAGTTGTAGGTACATTCAAAGCCTCTGAGATTTCCCTTATTTCTCGATAGACTTCAGTCGCCCATCCTTTGACATAATCTAGACCAGGGGTGGGCAAGTAGTTTAGGTGGGGTCCAGTAAATGTGGGAAAATTTTAACGAGGTCCAGAAAAAACAACTTATAAAATTAAGTGCTAACTATGTATTATTTTGGTTTCAAATCAAATTCTGAATTATAAAACACAAGACCTAAAATTATTGTGAGAAATTACACCGACGGTGTAAGTGCTATGGCGTAGCAAGGTGCCTTTTACAGAAGTTCAAAAAGAATGTTTTAATATCAGCAGCAAAAATTTCCATTTTTCGTGTATTACTTCTCGCTGATAATGGAATACTTGGAAATGCAGCGACATCTTTTTTTCTTCTAAAAGTGCCGTCACTACTTCTAACATACATTTTTTCACCATCTAAGAATCTGAAAATGGTTTCTGCCGTTTATTAAGCGTCCAGCACACACGTAGCGCTGCTTCTGTGGATTTTTCTTACTCGCTTATGCAACGAAATAGTGATTTAGTGTTTTATTTTTGTGAGAACTGAGATTGAAGTTTTTCTTAACGAGCCTTACTGCCAAAGGGAAAGTTTTTGAGAAATTGCTGACGAGTTGTTTCGTAGTGTTGCTTCAAATTACCACTCTTAACAATAGCGACAGTTTTATTGCATATAAGGTACACTGGAACCGCTTGAAGCCTATATTAGGCAGCGTAAAACAATATTGTTCAGTCCATTCTGCCAGAAACCTCCTATTTTCACTGTCCACTTCACGCTTTTTAGAATCCATATCAGCATAGGTACGAAAATATTATGAAAAAGCGAATAATCACAAAACAAATGAATGGTTGCTCCGCGGTTTGCGCTACAACTGACAGTCTGCTTCACACGCCCGCACCCTCGAGTTTGATTCTCACTCGCGCTTGTTTCAACAAAACAAAATAGTGGCAAGCGCGTACAAACACACATACACACAGGGTGAATAGGAAACTAATATAACCATTCTACAATAACGATTACCTACCAGGTGAAGTTACAATTGGTGTTTCTGTTTTGTGAATTCTTGAGAAGCAATGGTTTATATGCTTCGAAAACGCATTGAAATAGTGAGTTTGTACTACCAGAATGGAAATAGTGTTAGAGGCTGCTGCCCGTATGTTCAATGGTAATCATACAGAAAGAAATGTACGACACAAATACGTTTTGGAATTATTGAACAAATTTATGGAAACTGGATCATTTACCAATGAAAAGCATAACGGTTCAGGAGTTATCAACGATGGCGCTATTTGTACTGTAGTTTTAGGGCACGTTGTAATAATGGAAAATTCGTAATCTCTTACTAAGTTATCTCGAGAATCAGGAATCAGTCGTACAAATGTTTTCAGGATCCTTCATAAGTACAGATTTCATCCATATAAGATTAGACTGCTTCATGAATTGAACGAAGATGACTTCGATAGACGTATCAAGTTTTGTGAAAATCTCACTGAACGAATCAACTTGACTAGAATTTCTTGTAATGTAAAACATTTGTTTATCGGATGAATGTACGTTTGAATGGAGAGGTTAATCGGCAAAATTCTCGATATTGGAGTGATACGAATCTTCATTTATACCGTCAAGGTCATACCCAACGATCTCAAAAACTGAATGCTTGGGCTGGAATTTTAGGTGACCACATCATAGGACCTTTTTTCATCGATGTTAATTTGATTAGTGATAAATATTTGGATATGTTGGATAATCGAATAATCAATAGGGTAATTGAAGGGGATATAAATTTATTTGAAAACAAATATTTTTTCAGCAGGATGGTGCACCTCCTTATTATGGAGCTCCAGTGCGACAATTTTTGGATGATCGCTGCATTGGCAGAATAGGTCCTACAGAATGACCACCAAGATCTCCGGATCTCACTCCTGTAGATTTCTTTCTATGAGGTCATTTGAAGTTTAAAGTGTATGACATAAAATCAACAACATTAGAAGATTTGAGAGAGAATATTATGAGGTTTCAAAAACTACACCTCACGATTTATTTCTGATTGTTGGATCTGGGGGTATAATAATCTGTAAGTGAATTTACG